TGTTGTGTGCTGTTTCTATCGACACACCTCCGCGATCCTAACGGGTCAATGAACATGTTATTTTATGTCATGTTAAAGAATGTAGTCTCTTTTGATGCTGAGACTCAATTCTGTTCATGAATTAATTTATTGCTTAACCTCTTAATTACAAATTTGTATCTGTTCGCTGTCGGCTCTGTGGCTATGTCGATACCGACCGTCCAGTAAGCAATGGCAAACTAATGGACGTAAATTTGCCTAGAGAAATTATAAAACAGCCAGGGGCTGCTGGGGTTGGTTCTGCAACGTCCTGTAAAGGATACGCAACTATCTAACTAAAATATATTCGATATGCTCCACATAATTTGTCATCAGTCGGTCAAAGGTTGAAGGTTTCCTTCCTAGAAATCATGATCGCCTTTGCATAGCTCCCACAAACCATTGTTCTCACCTCGACTACGATAGATTGCAGACTAATAAAATGAAACATGAAATTTGAAACTTAATTATATAGTGGCAACAATACAAGTTGGGAGCCGCCTAGTGTAGCGTCTAGGCCCTCGCCTGCAGGCCTGGAGCTTAAGGGTTTAAATCCACACCGTGTTGGATGGTTTCCATAAAATTACATTGGCTCGCAGGTCGAACCGGTCTTAAATACGTACGGGTAAAATCCTAGGAAGTAAGGGCCATCGGAGTGAAGGTAATCACATTACCCACCGAGCCCCGATTAGTCTATAAAATATAGGTCTAGAACTATATATCCAGTACGCTGGGGCCTTGGAAAAGGGTCCTTTAATTCTTACAGTACTGGTGGTGTAATGGCGGTGTAATGGCGGTGTAATGGCGGTGTAATGGTGGTGTAATGGTGGTGTAATGGTGGTGTAATGGTGGTGTAATGGTGGTGTAATGGTGGTGTAATGGTGGTGTAATGGTGGTGTAATGGTGGTGTAATGGTGGTGTAATGGTGGTGTAATGGTGATGTAATGGTGATGTAATGGTGGTGTAATGGTGATGTAATGGTGATGTAATGGTGGTGTAATGGTGGTGTAATGGTGGTGTAATGGTGGTGTAATGGTGATGTAATGGTGGTGTAATGGTGGTGTAATGGTGGTGTAATGGTGGTGTAATGGTGGTGTAATGGTGGTGTAATGGTGGTGTAATGGTGGTGTATGGTGGTGTATGGTGATGGTGGTGGTGTAATGGTGGTGTAATGGTGGTGTAATGGTGGTGTAATGGTGATGTAATGGTGATGTAATGATGGTGTAATGGTGATGTAATGGTGATGTAATGATGGTGTAATGGTGGTGTAATGGTAATGTAATGGTGGTGTAATGGTGATGTAATGGTGATGTAATGGTGGTGTAATGGCGATGTAATGGTGGTGTAATGGTGGTTTAATGGTGTTGTAATGGTGGTGTAATGGTGATGTAATGGTGGTGTAATGGTGATGTAATGGGGTGTAATGGTGATGTAATGGTGGTGTAATGGTGGTGTAATGGTGATGTAATGGTGTGGAGTCGGGGGATATAGAAGACAAGGGTTAACCTGTGGTAAAACCGTATAACACAAAAGGCATGGAAGAAAATACCCAAGTATCAAAATAATTCACAGTGCATGAGACAGATAGCTATTCCTTCTCTTCTTTGTTATTTCACTGATGCCAGGTTGTAGCACCACGTCGTGGTTTTCTGTATTTGTCAAACCACTGCCTTCTTGGGTGGCTTGGGTGTCGGATTTGTTCTTTTTTTAACAGGTTTCGGCGACACCATTAATCTTTAACATTCTTGGTCTTCCTCTCGCTGTATTCAAAGATGCTCTGCGGTTTGGTCTAGCTGCACTCTCACTAGATGGCTGAAACATTTCATTTTTTCTCTCTAATGGCATTTGTGACCATGTCCCTTTATGTGTTGTTGGTGACTTTACGAAGAAACTGCATTTCATAGAAAGCTAGTGACACACAAAGTCAGGAAGCTAGGGATACACAAAGTAAGGAAGCTAGGGACACACAAAGTCAGGAAGCTAGGGACACACAAAGTTAGGAAGCTAGTGACACGCATAGTCAGGAAGCTAGGGACACACAAAGTCAGGAAGCTAGGGACACACATAGTTAGGAAGCTAGGGACACACATAGTCAGAAAGCTAGTGACACACAAAATCAGGAAGCTAGGGACACACATAGTCAGGAAGCTAGTGACACACATAGTCAGGAAGCTAGGGACACACATAGTCAGGAAGCTAGGGACACACATAGTCAGGAAGCTAGTGACACACATAGTTAGGAAGCTAGGGACACACAAAGTCAGGAAGCTAGTGACACACATAGTCAGGAAGCTAGGGACACACATAGTCAGGAAGCTAGGGACACACATAGTCAGAAAGCTAGAGACACACATAGTTAGGAAGCTAGGGACACACATAGTCAGGAAGCTAGGGACACACAAAGTCAGGAAGCTAGTGACACACATAGTTAGGAAGCTAGGGACACACATAGTTAGGAAGCTAGTGACACACATAGTTAGGAAGCTAGGGACACACATAGTCAGGAAGCTAGGGACACACATAGTCAGGAAGCTAGGGACACACAAAGTCAGGAAGCTAGGGACACACATAGTCAGGAAGCTAGGGACACACATAGTTAGGAAGCTAGGGACACACAAAGTCAGGAAGCTAGTGACACACATAGTCAGGAAGCAAGTGACACACAAAGTCAGGAAGCTAGGGACACACAAAGTCAGGAAGCTAGTGACACACTTAGTCAGGAAGCTAGGGACACACAAAGTCAGGAAGCTAGGGACACACAAAGTCAGGAAGCTAGGGACACACAAAGTCAGGAAGCTAGTGACACACATAGTCAGGAAGCTAGGGACACACAAAGTCAGGAAGCTAGGGACACACAAAGTCAGGAAGCTAGGGACACACATAGTCAGGAAGCTAGTGACACACATAGTCAGGAAGCTAGTGACACACAAAGTCAGGAAGCTAGGGACACACAAAGTCAGGAAGCTAGGGACACACATAGTGAGGAAGCTAGGGACACACATAGTGAGGAAGCTAGGGACACACAAAGTCAGGAAGCTAGGGACACACATAGTCAGGAAGCTAGGGACACACATAGTGAGGAAGCTAGGGACACACAAAGTCAGGAAGCTAGGGACACACATAGTGAGGAAGCTAGGGACACACATAGTCAGGAAGCTAGAGACACACAAAGTCAGGAAGCTAGTGACACACATAGTCAGGAAGCTAGGGACACACAAAGTCAGGAAGCTAGTGACACACATAGTCAGGAAGCTAGTGACACACATAGTCAGGAAGCTAGTGACACACATAGTCAGGAAGCTAGTGACACACAAAGTCAGGAAGCTAGGAACACACAAAGTCAGGAAGCTAGGGACACACATAGTCAGGAAGCTAGTGACACACATAGTCAGGAAGCTAGTGACACACATAGTTAGGAAGCTAGTGACACACATAGTCAGGAAGCTAGGGACACACATAGGAAGCTAGGGACACACATAGTTAGGAAGCTAGGGACACACAAAGTCAGGAAGCTAGTGACACACAAAGTCAGGAAGCTAGGGACACACAAAGTCAGGAAGCTGGGGACACACATAGTCAGGAAGCTAGGGACACACATAGTTAGGAAGCTAGGGACACACAAAGTCAGGAAGCTAGTGACACACATAGTCAGGAAGCTAGGGACACACAAAGTCAGGAAGCTAGGGACACACAAAGTCAGGAAGCTAGGGACACACATAGTTAGGAAGCTAGTGACACACATAGTCAGGAAGCTAGGGACACACAAAGTCAGGAAGCTAGGGACACACATAGTTAGGAAGCTAGGGACACACAAAGTCAGGAAGCTAGTGACACACATAGTCAGGAAGCTAGTGACACACAAAGTCAGGAAGCTAGGGACACACATAGTTAGGAAGCTAGGGACACACATAGTTAGGAATGGTAGACGGAACTGAGTGTAAGAAAACAGTCGCGACAAAATGTTACAATATTTTAAAAGCTTATAAATGTTTAAGACACCTAAAAGAGGTGGCGGTACTGTGAACCATTTCGTACCACGATGGGGAAAACCACTAATTGTGGGGAAATCGTATATGAGAAGCTAAGTATGGCGAAGAAATGATCATCGTGCTTCAGATCCTTTGCAGAACGTCGCTCTCATAACTGTCTGCCTAAAAAAAAAAAAAGCATAGTCTCTCCCAAGTCCCCCCAACTTCATACTCAAGGAGTCACTTATATCCTGCGCCAATCTTCTTCCTGGATGGCCACACTGACCGTTTTTCCTAGTAGATCTGTTTTGTTTCTTTCAACGGTGGTAAGCTTTCCCTGATACATGCTCCTACGACATGCTTGTTAGGGACACAATGGGTCTATTTTTTTTCCCCACAACAGGGCTCCGGGACCCACACGGGGACATCCCGGGGATGACACAATATAAATTCATGACAAGGTTCTGGGAAAACAAGTATACAGCATTACAAGACAGTACTTGTCTCTGGTAGCGGAGATGTTTTTTTTATTATTTGTTGTTGTTGTTGTTGAAACACTACTCATCTATGACATTATTGGAAAGCTCGCATGTAAAGAGGCAAAGCCTGGCCATCCCCGAGACACTATTGTAAAAGAAACAGTAAAAATACAGGACAATGGTTGTGCGATAAATTGTACACAAAAAAAGCCACATGTAACCATGGACCAAAAAATCTGGTATACGAAACAATACAAACCCTTAACAGTGTAGGAAAACTCGTTTCTGGAAAACTCAGTAGATTACCATGAATGAACATCTGGTATGTGAGAAGAAGTACGAAGTATATGCGGCCAGTAATCTACTGAAACAATCAGCCGACGAATGCTAGGATTTTGACGACTCGGTAATCACAAATCTGTGAAGTCATAAAAGTCTAGAATATTTGACTGGACAAAAACTAGCTCACGACAATACAAAACATGGAAGAGAAAATTTTGCATGCGAAACAAAACAAACAGTCATCCTACAATACCTTGAGAAAACACTTGTTCAAGCTCAGGTTATGCCGAATAGAGTTTTGCCAGCCCTGTTTGTTGTCTCGGTAATAGGGGAAGTTTTTCGTGATGAACTCGTAGATCTGGCTCAGCGTCATTCTCTTCTCGGGACTGCTTCTGATGGCCATCATGATGAGGGCGTTATAACTGAACGGCGGTTTCTCATTCTTTTTGTCTTCCTCAGATTTCACATTTTTGTCTTCTTTCTCACCGCAGCTGTTCTTTTCTTTTGTCTTTTCTGCGTCAATGCTGGTTATTTTACTTCTTGAATCAGAAAGTATGTTGATATCAACATTATCATTGTCATCAATATCATCATCAATATCGACGTCAGTATTGTTATTTTGATCACTTTTATCGACTGCTATATCGTCGTAGGAACTCACAGAACTAGTACAACTTCTTCGTGTCGGAGAGTCGGGTATGTCTGTCTCAGTGTCTGTCCGGTGTCTGCTATGACGTTCATGGTGATAAGTTTCAGAAAAGTCTGAGATGTCACGCCCACAGACGTCGACGCTGTCTGCATCATTATCATCACGGGTGCCTTCAGAGTCGGAACATCCCAGAGTGTCTTTGTCTGAACATGGGGAAGATATTCTGTTGTGGGATATGCGGGGAACTAGGCCATTCCTTGAGATAAGTGTCTGAACGTCAGAGGCAGGCACTCGACCTGCGACGAAGGAGGGAGGTGGGCAACTGTCGAAAGCGTACAGATCGTTACTGTGTGTGAATAAATGCGAATTGTTTGAAGTTCTCACATGATCACTGCAAATTTCCGATTGCACGAAAAGATGACGAGGGGGAAAAGACATTGCAAGTTTAAAATCATCGGCTGGAACGTCCTTGTTTGGCGAGGATACTTGCACGCCATTTTTGAAGTTCTTTCCAAAATCGTCTGCTAGAACTCGGCTAATGCTAAATGGATTTCCTAAAAGTGCTTTGTCCATTATTTCTTTTTTAGCCTCTTGGAGCATCATATTTTTCTGTTTTAACGCTTGTCTTCCTAAAGAAACAAATTACATAGCAAGGATCCTCGAAACTTAAAGCGTAATGTTAGTTAAAAGAAACTCTTATGATTGCAAATAGGCCTTCCAACCCATGTCATATCCAAAGAAATGCACAGAAAAGTCTTTGAAATAATTCAAACAACGTTGTTTCATTAACTAAACATCTACAATGAAGTCAAGTCCTGGGCTTCTGTTTTTCTCAGCTACTGTTTCCGCAATTGTACAGTCAAGTGACGGGGAAAAAATCTCACCACAAAGTTCTTTATACAGTTAACAAGATCAAACTCAAATCCCCCAGGTTCACATAGAGATCTCAGGACGCAGATTAAATCCAATGGGCGGAGTCAGCGCCCATCAACGCCAAGACTTGAGTGCCAGCTGCTACTCTTTGTGTCTCCTAGCCCACAAACGGCACGTTCAGATCCCTCTGTCCAATAGGATCTGCGGGATCTACTTGTCGGTTGCAACTGTCAATAAACCCCCACGCCTCCTTGGACTACTCCTCTTCGCTGTTGGTGATTTAACGTAGCTATATCGCTTTAGTTAGCGGAAGAGACATTAACAAATAACGGGTTAATGGTAGCAAATTATATATACCGGTTAGCAGTTAACAAGCGGGGAAATTCCCTATGTAATCACTATGTTCGTATGCAGAATTCCCGCAGTGATAACAGTAATAATAATATGTCGCGCTGGTTTGTACATGTCAGAGTGTGTGTATGAGAATATGATGTATATACATGTGGACTGGGCAATTATATCACTGTGTTTCCAACATTGGCCTGGGAAAGCTGCGTTTGACATTTCCGATATGTGCAAGGGACGAACGAACGGACGAACGGAACTTTTTTTTTCCACAGGATCACAAATTGGGCACACAGGCCCGTCTTGCATTCGGCTCTTTCAAACACCCATCTTTCTCACAGCAGTTCCAATTTATCAATAAAACATGGACACAGTTGAAGCCTTGTAGAAAGCGAATGCTTGTTTATCTGTCATAATAAGCCCGCCTCTCTAGCGTAGTTGGCTTAACCGAATTGCGCTGAGACCGGGTGACGAACTCATTGTGGTCCGGGTTTAATCCCGGGGGTAGGCAGCCACATTTTCTCCCAGATTTACAGTATTTACAATGGAATTAAGGTCGAAAGGTTGCGATATCCGTAATACCGAGCCTAAGGGTTAACAACTTATGTTTTCTGGATACTAAAACAAACAACAGTCTGTCATATTATACTATATAAGCAGATTTATAACGATTGATTGCAATATAACGTCTCGCCTTGCTTTCAACAATGGTACTGAGATCTGCCCGTGCAGGGAGCAATGGAAAACTACTGAACCTAAAATTCGCCTTAAAAAACATCCAAAAACTGTTAGGGTGGTTCTGCAACGCTCTGTGAAGGTCACGCCACTTATGTTATCCCGATTACAAAGCAGCAATGGCCTAGTTGTTAGATGCTAGCTTGCCGGTCCGAAAGTCAGGGGTTCGACTCCTTGTCGAGTTTTTTTTTCTTCAAAAGTGACCTTAGCTCCATAGTTGACTCAGGGTAAAATTGGTACCAGATAATGTGTGAGGAAGTAAAGGTGACCGGCAAGATGTTGACTACATCGACCACCAAGTAACAAATGGTTTATAGAAATATGAACCTTTCAGCATACGCTGAACTGGTATTAACAATGACATTTAGATTTTATTTAACTTTTGAGGTGGCTGCGTTGTCTCAAGGCATGATGTCCACCTCGAGTGCTAGAGGTTCCGGGTTCAATCCCCAGTGAAATCTGGGATTTTTTCACGTGGACTTAGGTTTTTAGTAATTCTCCCTGGTCTCTGGGTAGTGAGATTGTACACCGTGTGCCTTGTTGTGCACGTTAAAAAAATCGTTTGGCAGTTGGAAATCTAAAAGATTAGGCTAACGGCGTTGCCCCGGCAAAATTAGGAGTTAACAAACCTACCCAAAGTATTTCAAGATCTCGCCGGTGCTACAGAGCCTGTGCACTGTGCTGAGCTTCTTCGGACTCAGACTGGAGTTAAAAGAAGAACGGAGCACTTATGGGTTACTACTAGTGTGCCATGATGTTGATACGTTGTTCAAACCCCAAACCCAGTATATTAAGAAATAAAAGGGCGACACTTTTGTGTCACGGCGAATGAAAACAGACAAGCATGTAGCGTCCTTGAAAGTAATTGACATGTAATTACATAGTATTTGTATATACTCGTGTAACAACTGAGCACAAATGTACACAGATAAAGGCTTTTAATTATGACAAGGCAAGTCGAAATTCTTCTTCTTCGCATGTTAACTTCTGTTGAAAGTTTTGGTTATTTGGCCACTTCTTTACTTGTTCCAGAGTTTTGCCTGCACATTCGTTGACAAGATTTGGTTTATTTGAATGCATCTGCTTATTCATTACCTCTGTGACAGATACAGATTTCGAAGGAAACACTCATAGTTAGCTGCCTTATACGACATGTTGCTTGGGGGCACATGGTCTACCACACCCCCCCCCCCTCCCAATTCCCGCAATCCCCATTAGGATCTGGATTTATACAGGACGTTGCAGAACCAACCCCTGTGGTTTTTCTAGGCAAATTTACGTCCATTAGTTTGCCATTGTATTGAAGAGTCGGCTTTCTTGATACCACTAAGGAAACTAACGTAAGGCGCATAGCCCGCAGCTAGGATCGAACCCGGCATCCTAGCATTACGAAGCGTTCGCATCGACTTAGCCACAGAGCAGACGGACTTATACGGGGAAAGGAAATATCTGGTTAGTCGCCTTTTACTATGTGCGTGTAAGAGAGCAGGTATTCTGGTCACAGCCATACGGTCCGATATGTTTGTAATTGTTGCTGTGTTTGTTATTCGACCTATGTTTGGTTAATATAAATTTATGTAAACTATGGTGCCATTTAAAGTCTTTGAGATGTCCGTATTCCTTAGTTGTGGATTTCAAGCTGAACAGCAGGCGTGGCCAATGAAGAGACCTTTCAGTGAGGGTGTCTAGCTGGTCGAGTTTTCCTTGCGAGGCGTACACGCCATTCAGAGGTGACGTGTTCGATTGCCGGTACGGTAACAAGAGCTTTCGATTGCTATATCGTCTGGTGTTTTTTTTTTTAACTTTCTACTTTCTTCTTTGAGTGCTGATTAATACATTTTCTGTTTATAATATATAGAATATTGTTGTTACTATTTTTATTGTTAATTTTTAAATTCAGCCCCTGGATCCAGACAGGACAATTTCCACCAAATTAGATTTTTATAATTGACGAGGTCTTGTTCACGTTTCCCTGTCCATCTACACACTCCCTCACCTTTCATACTTACTCAGACCCTTCTAACTCGGAGGGGTGTCACGTTGTCTTTCCTCTAATTACATCAGCGCCGATGTCTCGTGTTCTATACTACACGTCGACACAGCTATCATCGACACCAGAACACGTAGAACTGGCCTTAACCCCCCGCCTCCCCCAAACCCACAGCCTCAGCCTAGGCCACACGAGAGACTTTTTTTCAAAGAAAGAGGTGCAACGTGACACCCCTCTGACCTAGATAAGACTGAGAAAACTGAACAGGTCCACTGACGAATACGACAAAATGTCCCAAGACGTAAAGGTGACCGGAGTTGACTATTTCAACCATCGAGTGCTGGTTTGACTATAAATTTTTGACCATGTAAACCATCGAGTGCTGGTTTGACTATATATCTTTGATCACGTAAACCACAGAGTGCTGGTTTGACTATACATCTTTGCTCCCATAAACCATAGGGTGCTGTTTTGACTAAAAATCTTTGACCATATAAACCATAGCGTGCTGGTTTGACTATAAATCTTTGACCATATAAACCCCAGAGTGCTGGTTTAACTATACACCTTTGACCGTATAAACCATAGAGTGCTATTTTGACTGTAAATCTTTGACCATATAAACCATAGAGTGCTAATTTGAATGTAAATCTTTGACCATATATGTCACATACAGCTAATGTCGCGTGCCTGATTTAGGGATTGCTCCTTAAGAACCAACAGCACTCTGAAATAATAATTTTGCGGCGTCGGCTCGTATTGATCTAAGAGAGATCCGTGGCCAAAATATGCTCAACTTATTTCAGGAGAAGGGCAACTCAAGTTCTGACACTACAGAATATCTAATATTCCTAGACACACTTGGCTGGACACCGCCACTACTATAAAAAGATAGCCCCCAGGTTATGATAGTATACTATCCTAGCCATGTTAACACAGATTACACTTATTAATCACACACATGAAAGCTCGACAGTTAGAATGGTGAAACAGGAACACCCAAGTCAGCCATGAAAATTTCTGAAAAAGGTTGTAATAATCTCTCTCTCTCTCTCTCTCTCTCTCTCTCTATATATATATATATATATATATATATATATATATATATATATATATATATATATATATATATATATGTGTATATATATATATATATATATATATATATATATATATATATATATATATATATATATATATATAAAGACAATTAAGATGGTTTCCAGTGAATTGAGTCAGGACTCAACGTCACAGCGATAATATTGAAACAGCCAGATACAGTCTGAGAAATCATGAATCATCACTGTGAATCAAAGGGAGCCAAGTACAAAGAGCATGTATGTCATTTCAGATGGTACTTATCCAATCTGGTAGGTCACTGCTCCACTCAGTCCATGGTGATTTGAATCAGCTGACTCAATAGATTGCTTTGCCTCGGGTTGATCTGGTAAACCCTGATCGTCTCACATATGGGGACAAAGAAACTGCACTGGAGCCCAACAAAGCTCCGGAAGAAGGCTTCCTTGGATTGATGACACAGGTAGCCTGCAATACTGTCTCTCAGCCACTGTAACTCACACACAAGCTCCTGCCATGTTGAAGATCTGCCAACAATAGGTAGGGTTTTGGGTAGGTTTGGTGATAGGGGTGGTATGGG